AGGTTCAGATGGACCGTAACCTTAACGTTGTGATTTTTTCTAATAAATTGGTGATGCTGAGCGAGCGAGGTGTGTGTGTGTGTGTGTGTGTGTGTGTGTGTGTGTGTGTGTGTGTGTGTGTGTGTGTGTGTGTGTGTGTGTGTGTGTGTGTGTGTGTGTGTGTGTGTGTGTGTGTGTGTGTGTGTGTGTGTGTGTGTGTGTGTGTGTGTGTGTGTGTGTGTGTGGTGCAAATGTTAATAAAAAAGATGAGATAAACAATAAAGAAATAACTTTGATATATGAGGAAGACTCATGAAGGCAATTAATTCTGATAAATGGTAGAATCATATAATGTTAAAAATACATTTCAGATGGTTAACTGTAATTTGGTTAAAGAGGGTGATACATTTTACATTAGTGTGCAGGATTTCTCTTCTGACGACATACAAGTTTCTTGTGAGATTCACTGAATTTGTGATGATTAATTGAGATGATTAACAGTTTGAATTGGGTCCATAAAATTCAAGAAAACAGTAAAAGAAAATGTCAATAAGAGTTTGCAGATGCTCAAAATGAAGCGTTTAGTTTTCTCCATGACCTTAATATTCAGTTAACTGTCAGATTCAGGGTTAAGAAATCTTAATGTGTTCGACCTTTATGAGGATGGAATCAGAGAAAATTGACTTTGAAATAAACACTTGCATTCTTGTTTATTATTGGAAATATTAAACTCAACGATTTTAATACTTGACATTTAACAGATTCATATTAAAGGTCTACACTGAAATCAGACCCGACTCAGATTTTTAAGTAAAGCCCAAAATGTACACCCAGAGTTATGTTCACAATGCTGCAAATATCAAATTGAAGCATGCTTCTAAGAAAATAACTTCTCTCTCATATCAACAAATCTTTGAGGGTCACAGTAATCTGTTGAAGTTTTGCCACTCAGCCTTGATAACATTCAAACTTTATTGTGTCTTGGCTCTTGTCAGCAGAATTTAAATCTGGTTTTTCACCACAGCCCTCAGGCTAACAGTTCCAGAAATCTCCAACAAAAAAGCTCTGGAAAAAGCCACAATCCTGCATGATTCACAGCCAGACCTCCCGTCTGTGATTATGAGACGCTCAGTGTCATTCTGTATCCCCACATGAGAATGTTTCTTACAGATTTACCGTCTGTCAAACTCCCTATGCCGTCCATAAAGATACAAGAACTGAAGCAGAAACTCTTCCCATCTCACCGATCAAATATAGGGTTCATTTTCATAATAGTTTATGTTATTGTTCTCTGCAGGGGAGAAGATAAGTCTCCAGCAGCGCCCTCCAGTCTTCATTAATTTAATTCTTCCTTAGGGCGGTTCTTTTTTATGTGTCCCCCAGAGTTCAGAGGCATTGATTGGCTGTGTTGCTGTCTCAGCTGAACACTAATGATAGCCTCCACAGTGATTAATACGCCTCCTCTGTGCTGTCACTACACTCATTATGACTGAAGAGAGGCATTTATCACCACAGTGTTGCAACCTCACTGTTATGAGATAGTTTGGCTAATGGTTAGAAAATACTCAGTGGAGAGTTGAGTAGAGATGTTTTCATATGGAAGGAACTTGATGTGTATCTTAGGCCACAAGTAGGCGGGTATTTTTTTAAACGGAGGTTTTCCTCCCATTTAAAGAAATAATCTTTTCCAGCAAGCTTAGTTCTCAAAAACAACTTTGTTACCGCTGTCATGAACATGCAGGTCAGAAACGATGTCCTTGACATGCTAAAATTTTCCCGCCATTCCCCTGAAATGACTATCTGATTTACAAAGGTGCCTCTGTCAACACAGTGGGAGAGCAACTGTGTCATGTATGTGTGAGCATGCAAAAGGTCCAGTTAGCAACGTTAGCACCAGCACTAGTTTGGTCAGGTCTGCCATCACGCTAAACTCATGTAAACAAAAGTGACAGCGTTGCACAGTCATGACAAACGGAGGAGGAACAGGTGTGACATAAAAGCCCAAAGTTTTTCTCGTCCACTCTGGAAGTTTTCCAAAAGGTGCGTTTAACTTTTCTGTGACCTAAAACGCTGTTTCCATGTTTATGAAAAGCCAAAACACACCAAAATGTGGACTAGGCCTTAGCCTGGACATGAATTCATCGTGTTTCTGTTGTATGGCGGCCTGTATGACATGAATCCTACCGTTCTTATTTGCAGGCCTCATATACAGTAAAAAGTGGAATATGAGATTTTGAAAAAGTTCTTATTAATGCAATAAGATGGAAAAAAAAAATGCTGAAAATAATTAACATATGAGGATGAAACTCATGGAAAACACAGCCCGGGGAATTTATGGGGGATGTTGTGTAACCTCAAATTTGACTGCAGTACATGTTGATTTATTTTCCTTTTTGGCTCTCATTACAACACTGACACATTTGAAGTAAAGCTGTGCATTAAGCAATTAAACCACGCCTTGGCTTGTACATAATGTACCCCCTCTTCCCCAATATTGGAAGTGGTTAACTTATCCGATTCACTTTACAGTTTTATGTTTTGCGCTGTTTTTGAGCCATGCAGTAACAATAATTCAGCAGCATTCCTCTGGACTAGTGCACGTATTATAACTGTCAATATTGGCCCTAAATCCAGATTTCTTTGTGTGTTGTGTTTGTTGGAGAGTTTTGTGTTGAAGTTCTGAGTCATTGCTGCGTTGTTGGCTGTGAACCCTCTTCCCTGTGTGTTCCTGGGCGGGTCCTGCTCCACTTGAAACACTCCTGCTGTGAAAGACTTTTATTAAAACTGTGGACAGCATGACTCATGCCCTCTCACTTATGACCCGCCCTGATCCCCCCTGCTCTCACTCGGCTCACCCACCCACCATCCGCCTACCCCTCTCTGATGCTCCTGTTCATGGTTCTTTTCATTCCTTCTTTTAAACTTCTGCTGGTTTTTGTTCTTCTGTTTTTAACATCAGGTCAGTGTTTTGTACAAAAACAGGAATAGAGGCTGTTTTACCACTCCTGCAGCCCCCTCCGGTCAGCTCCACAGCACGGCCTGGTTCTGCTTACGACACATAGATCTTGTGAGGCCATGTTTGACTACCGGGAGTGTCTCCTTTGATTCCCACTGACAGAGCAGCAGGGTGAGGGACACTATTCAAACCAGAGCGGGCAGGGGTGAGCAGTGCTGCAGAGAAATGTTGCCAGGTTCTTTGTTTTTAGTCAGATAAAGTAGAAGATTTGTGGCATTTGTCCATGTGACTAATTTGTTAAAAACAGGTAAATAACAGGATAATTCATGCATTCAAAAATGTTTCATCAATTAGCCTTGAGATTTCTTTTTTTGTCTTTTGTGCTAAAGTGCTCACCAAAGCGAGTCTTCAGATTCCTTTTTCTCCAGCTGTCCCCAATACTCTTTGTTCACTATTAAAGGAGAGAAGCAGCTTATCTTCATATTAAACAATTTGCAGCTAGCAAATGTTTCTTGAAAATGAATATTAAAGATGAAAGATAATTTATTTTAATAATCAAATGGATTAATCAACTAATGTTCCAGCTTTTTCAAAGTTCCAGTAATACATGCTTGCATGCACAATATCTGAGAACCAAAGCAGCAAAAAGGAATTCAGCTGTCTCTGTAAATTATGTTACTCAGGCATTTTGTAACCGTTTGGGTCCATGCCTCTCGGTTAACAGTGTTTTAGAGAGTGTTGGAGACAGAACATTTAGCCACAAATGCATGCTTGTGGTTTATTGCAAACTACACATCAACCTTACAAAGTCCGATTGTTCGGCTACTTTTTTATCAAACATGCGCAAAATAGTGTCCACACAAACCCTCACGCCACCTTTTGAATTGATTACAACAAGCATCGTCCATAGGCAAAAGGGAAGTAAGAGCACAAGCGCCGCTCTAACTAAACTTTAGGATAAAACAAGGCGCCTCTAGTGACGTTGCTCCCCTAGTTACTTAGCAACACAGTATGTCTTAAAGGTATATTCCACAATTTCAACTGTTAAAATGTTTTACAGTGGCAGCAGGTCCCATCACAACTTTTCTTTTTGACTCAGTTTGATGCCAAGTTTTGAGGCAATACTTTGTGGTGATATATTGTTTCCTATGTGTGTCTGGTAATAAGTCTTCCAAGTCCAAAATAAGAGTACAGAGGTGCAAATAATATGATTCATTATGTTGTTGTCATCAGATTGTATCCAGTACGAGTACTTCAGATACCAGTGCTGGGAAAACGCTCTACAGGCAAATTCTCCCACTTATACACTGATAAGTTAAAGTCTGAGTTATTTTTAAATAAAGCAAAGTCCAGAATAGAACCAGCATCTGTTTCACCTGACGGTAAGAGAGCTGTCATCAGTCAGTGTTGTGAACATGCACATTTCCCAGCACAGTGTGACACCTGAGCTGTGACCGTCACTGTGTTGTCATAGAGGATACACATGGAAGAAGCTGCTCTTACGTTATCTCCCCCTGCAGGATGGTTGTGTTCTCATGCCTGTGAGGGAATATGAAGCATGGGCAGTTGTTCTGTCATTGATCATTTGTGAGCAGCAGTCGTCTTATTGTTGAGTCTTGCTGATGATGACCTTCAGCTAAAGGTCACTGCTGCTTTATTGTCTGTACGACTCTAAATGCTCACTGAGCTGGAAGGCAGTTGGGATGTAAATTAGCAGCTGAACTACACATGCAAAAAAACACACTTGATCATGTGGTGATGCTAGAATCAGCTTTCTTTATCAGTCTGGTTGTTGCTTTAAAAAGCTTTCGGCCTTTGTCTGAGAATGATCTTTAATGGGGATGAATATTTTTTGGCAAATAACGCTCAGCCTGCAGTTAATACACTGTTAACGATTTAAATACTTTATAAATGTAAAGACAGTAACTATGCTTCTCAAGTTGCCATTTATGCCTCTTGCATGCTTTTGGGCATTTATGATGTGTTTTACATATCCTACATATAAGTTGTGCATTTGCATATTTCCTGCTCACCCTCCCTCCTTTTTCTGCTTCCTCCCCTGCAGGTCTGATGCTCGGCTGCAGCTGCCTCAGCCGCCATCATGTTCACCAAAAAGAAAACCAAGTCTCGCATCCAGATCTCTGCTCCGTCGAACTTCGAGCATCGCGTGCACACAGACTTTGACGAGCAGGAGCAAAAGTTTGTTGGGTTGCCACGGCAATGGCAGTCTCTCATAGAAGACACGGCCAAAAGGCCCAAACCGTTCATCGACGTGACGGTCATCACTACTGTGGAGCCTCGAAAGGTGGGAGGAGCAGAAATTGAAACATGACAAACAAGTCGTCAAATTAACTAAATCTGAATATGATTCATTTTCAAAATAAATTGAATTATAAATATTTATTTTCAATCTTCAGACAATTGTTCGTGGCAACAAGCTGGGAGTCGACGGCTCCCTGACCTGGCTGTTGGATGAGTTTGACACCATGTCTGTTACTCGCTCCAACTCCCTGCGACGGGGCAGCCCTCCCATCCAGCCACGCAAAGACTCTTCAGGAGGAGGGCAGGAGAACGGAGACCCTCACCACAGACACTACTCAAACCCAGACAGACAAGACAGGTAAAGAGTGTGTATATGATATTTGCTTGTTTCTGCAGCATCGTGCTGAATATATGTCACGGGCAACAAGATCTTTACACCTGCAGCACCTGTAGTTATCTCTGCATCACTGTGTTTCTCAGGGACCGACCCAGACCAGACCACCAGAGTGGAGGTGACCCCCGTCAGAGTCAGCGTGCGATCCGCCCTCCTCATGAGGGAGTCCAGGGTCGGCCGCAGCAGCAGCCCCGTGGACAAGAGCCCAGCAGGGTGCACAGACCAGGCTCAGGCCCCCCTCCTCCCCCTCACAGAGACAGAGCACCACGGGACCGGGACCAGGTTAGGACTGCAGATGGACCCTAATTCATGCCCCTCGTTCTCATACTTATTTATTTACTTATATATTATTTTTGAGAAATTATGCATTTGAAGAGGGTTAAAACACCCAGTCCATCTCTCATCCAAACGTTGTTCTCTTTAGGAGCAGCAGGTGTCCCACAGGGATCAACCCGGAGAACACAGGCCAAAGTCCAGCTACATGGTGCGGGACGGCAGCCCTCAGTCTCCCAGGGACAAGAGGCCTCTCTCTGGACCCAACATTCGTACCCCAAACCTGCCAGTAACAGAGGGGGTGATAAAGAATGCTCAGCCGAACACACGGCCGTTTAACACGTATCCGAGGGCGGACAGCGAGGGCGGACGCAGCCCCACAGGGCAGGTAGGTGCACTGACACGAGAAACCCCATACCATAATAAAAGCAGCTACTTTCCCTGTCAGTGTTGTGTTGTTAAAGGCAATTAAAGATCATTTTAAAATGAGGGAGCTGCTGCTGGATCATGGATTATGTGAATACATTGTTTACAGTTTCCTATAGATATTTTTTGTTTTGTTGTTGGTGACGTTCTTCTCTTTTTGTTCCAGCCGGTCCGACATCATGAATCCTCCCCTCAGAACGGCCCCTCTAGCGGCTCCACCCGAAGTTCCTCCGGCTCAAAACCCCCCATAAGCCACGCACACCCTCATCACACTTCACACCCAAGCCTGACCCCTGAAGCCACCCAGCACCCTCACACCCCTCACCCCAGCGTCCCAGCCCCGCGGCCCCCTGCGCCCGCCGGGCCCCCTGCATCAGGTGCTCCCCCTCAGGGCCGCTCGCCACAGAGGGAGCCCCAGAGGGTTTCTCACGAGCAGTTCAGAGCGGCGCTACAGATGGTGGTGGATCCGGGCGATCCGCGGACCTACCTGGACCACTACATTAAGATAGGGGAGGGATCCACCGGGATTGTGTGTATTGCCACTGTGAAGACCACCGGGAAACTGGTGGCTGTGAAGAAGATGGACCTGAGGAAACAGCAGCGCAGAGAACTCCTCTTCAACGAGGTACGAGCTCTTTGTATCATGTTCTCTCTACCTGCCACCAAGTTCACCTTTCTGTTCTTTTGAGTCTAATGAGTAAGCTACTTCCTCCTGTTTGGTAACTGCAGGTGGTGATCATGCGGGACTATCACCATGAAAACGTGGTGGAGATGTACAACAGCTACCTGGTTGGAGACGAGCTCTGGGTCGTCATGGAGTTTCTGGAGGGAGGAGCTCTCACTGATATCGTGACACACACCAGGTGAGAAAACTCCTAAAGCGATGAATATATTTTTGATTTCAACATAATCTTGTGTCTACACAGCACTCTTAAAAAACAATTGTTTTCAATAAATGTTTATTAAGAACAAGGAACAAACCAGCTCAGACATAACATGACACATTAAACATGACACATGTCATTTGAAAAACATTTGAGACAACAGCAGGTTCGGTAGTCTCGTCTGTTCAGAGTCTGGAGCAAATGAGGTCAGCTAGCTCGAGTTGGAAGATGACAACTCCAACTTACACTTTATTGTCTCCAGGGGGAAATTAGTTTTTGAGCCAGATAAAAAGTGTTCAGAGAAACTCAGACAATAGAAACCACAAACACAGTGAATATGAAAAACAGTAAAAATGGCTACAGAGAGGAGGGACAACATGGCATGTGTTCCCCTAGTAGATTAAACAAAGTGACTATTTACACTGATTGCGATTAAAAAAAAAAAAAATCTGAAAACTTTTTCCCCACAGTTTCATATTCTCTGACCATGAATTTGTGATGATAAAGGCTTAGAGGGTCTAAAGTTTTGAGTTTGAGGCTCCTTGCATTGCCTTAATTTAATTATTACGAAGCTGCACAACATGCAACTTCAACCTTTGTTTAAAGATCTATCACCTTGTATTCTATAAAACCAATATATGTAGTGTTAATGAAGCCTTTTCATTCCTAATGAATCATTATTTATGCCTCAGCACTACTTTGCTTTAATTCTTTAATTCATTTATTATAAAGCTAGCTTGTCACACTGCTTTCTTCCACAAGGGGGCAGTGTTATCTCATAGGTGCACAGACAGACAGAGCACTGTGGCCTGTCATATTAAACAGAATCTTGACCACAGTAGGTTACTTTTTGACTCATATGAAAAAACTAATCTGATATCTCTATGAAGTGAAAATGTCTATTTTTTTGTTGTGACTGGAACACATCATCACTGTGGTTTAAGAGGTGATCACACCTGACTTGGACTCTCTGATGTCTCCTTTCTCTCTGCAGGATGAACGAGGAGCAGATCGCCACAGTTTGCCTGTCTGTGCTGAAGGCGCTGTCCGTCCTGCACACACAGGGTGTGATCCACAGAGACATCAAGAGCGACTCCATCCTCCTCACGCATGACGGCCGAGTATGTAACTCACAACTCACACTGCTACACTCCTCCTTACTCCAGATTTCACATCTTAGCCCTTTAAAAGCAGGAAACATGGTTTGTAAAAGGAGTAAATGCTGACATTAAATACATCAGAAGCTTCCTGGAATGCAGAAAACATATTCGTATTAGTTAAAGGAAATGAAATGTCATCACACAGTTCTCTCTCTAATCTCACACATCTGCTTTTGTATTTCAATCAACAAACTGAGTGAAGCTGCACTTGATGAGTATTAAAGAATATTAGGGCTTTTCATGGCAGACACCTAGACCAGTGTATATTCAAACAACATTAATTCTGGTAGTGTTACATTTAAACAAGCCAGTTAACCGGACATGTGATGACAGACATTACAGCGATCGTTCATGTTTTGAGCTTCGTCTGTCCGTCTTCTGCTCCGACATGTCACCGTGATTGCTGATAAGAAAGGCCTTTAATGACCCCATGCTGCAAATACAAACACTCTTCAGAGTGTTTTGCAAAATACAAAGCCTCAGCACAGCACCTCGGCCAGGGGAAGAACTTAACCTAGATTTACTAGAAATAAATAAAGGAAATTGTTGGTCTGTAAAAGGAACCAAGTGCCTCTCTGCTCACCACTGCTGGGGCTGATGCCTGTCCACTTCCTGCCTGTTGACTGGCAAGTTTCTGCTTTCTGCAGAAAGTGAAACCAACATGAAACCTCTGAAGTCAGCGTCCATACAGTACCTGGTCTCTGTCTCCGGCAGTCTCTGGCCTTTAGGTTCAGTTCAAATATATGCTCTCTTTAGTTTAACACTTGCCAAATGTAGCACTTGTTTCTGCTGCAGAATTCATGCATGCATGCTTCTGCTGAGATGAGGTTTCAGCCACATCGTTGCCATGTGTCTAACGAAGCCTCCTGCTAAATGTCTTTAGTGCTTTGCCTTTGCATTGCTCTTCAGGGTGATACAACTATTCAAATTCAGCAAAACTGAGTCGACAATCAATCCCTTTTTGTTCATGCTGCGAAATGTGTTTTGCAGCAGTGAGATGCATCTATTTAGCACACATGTAAATGAGGTGGTATATTACAGCACGTACACAAAACACGTGAATTAAGGTTTAAAATAAGCAGTTTTTTCATTGAGTGTATAGACAAAAACTCATCCGAGCCTTGACTTAATTTCAAGTCATTTGGCGTTAACTGTCACAATTTGACGGAGAGTTTTGGCACATTTCTTCGTTTTTCAAATGATATGTGATGACATTTCGCTTAGTAACCCTGCATTTAGTTTGTTCATTTATGTGCGTGTAAGCTCGGCCCGGCCTGCGCAGCTTTTTGCTGAGTCCCTTCCTTCACACCTACACAAACATGACCTGCATAACACGTCACACATGTGAAGTTGAGATGAACTATGGTAAAAAACCACAGCCTCCCTGATGAGTGTTGGTGGTTAAAAGTCTTGTATGAGTTGTGGTTTTACCCATCCACTCCTCGGCCTGCAGCAGCATGCACGGCCAGGCAGAGTCGGTAGTCACACCGATCACAGAGCACAGCTATACTGAAAAAAACACCCGTGGGCACTAGTTTGATTTCTTAAACTCCTGCTAATTAAACACTTTTTTTTCACCTGCAAACACAAAACTTAAAATAACATTAAACTTCTAACATGCTGTCATTGGTGTCAAAATGAAACACAGACTAAAAATAATTATGTGTGCACCAAAGATGTAAATAGTTTAGCTCACAGTTGATTGTTTTTGTTGTTGTTTTGTTATTAAATACATTTTGGATGGATGTTTTTTTTACAAATTCCAAACGAGGACTTGTGTAATTTAGTTAGTTTTCATTTCATCAGCTGTAGTGTTTAATAAGAGGAAGATGTGTGATCTCAGGTCACATGTTTTCACAGAAATCTTTCTGCTGCTCGCTCTAGTGTTGCAGTGCTGGGTTTGGTTTGACCTGTTTGGTCTGGCAGAGGAAGCAAACTAAACCAAGCCTGAAATGTTTCTTGGCAGTAGGTGGGGTTATGTAAAAAGTAGGTGAAGAAGACATTTGATCTGTGTTGTGGTTAAGTCGAGTATTAATGTCATGCTTTCTCTCCAACTAAAGATGTTTTTAGTGATGCTCAGGAGGCCAGTGTCAGCCATCATGTTATGGTATCAGTCTACGGGAGTGTTCATGTGTGTAATGGTCATCATGCCAAGTTTGTTCGGTTCCTCTTTCTGAGCCACCTGTGGGGAGCGGTCTTCCCCCTTGTGGGTAACATGAAAGGCTGCTTCTCTTTTCAGATATCCAGCCTTGCACAGACCTTCTTATAGAGGGGTGGGTGTTAACTGAGACTGTGGGAAAAATTTCACAGACCAGACTACTCAACTGTTAAAGCATGAAAATGAAGCTGTGCATCAGAAACTCAATTTGATGTAGTAGGAGCTCAAATAGTTTTCTCCATCTGCCCATTTTCAAAAGCCATATTTTCTATAGTGAAAGACTTTATCTATAAAATGCAATAATGAACCATCTGAACTGCAGAGCCAGACATTCCTCCAAACATTTATTTTTAACCCGAGACAGAATAGTGACTGATGGTATGAATTTACTGAGCATTGATTCATGTATCGATCTGGAGTTATTTGATTTATTAAACGTCACATACACTATTTAGATGTGGAAAACTCTTGGTTACTAAGTTGTTCTCTGTTGTGTGTGAAGACAGGCAGCACAATCCGATCAGAACTGAGTAAAAATGGATCGGTGCATCTGTATCACTTTTGGGTTTATAGTTTCTGTGTTGTTTACTCGGTGGAAACAAATACTGACATTGGTGTCCCTCTGTTTTCACCTTTTCACCCATCTCGTTCTCCCTCCATCTCGTTCTCCCTCCTTCTCTTTCTCCCTCCATGTCTTTGTCTGTCTCTGTCCATCTCCAGGTGAAGCTTTCAGACTTTGGGTTCTGCGCTCAGGTGTCTAAAGAAGTGCAAAGAAGGAAGTCTCTGGTTGGGACGCCGTACTGGATGGCACCAGAGCTCATATCCAGACTGCCTTATGGGCCGGAGGTAAGACTCATACCTGGTATTCAACCATAGTTTTAAATCTTAACCACCCAACAAGCCCACTTTTTCTTAATGTTGATGATGTCTCCTCGCTGTGTGCAGGTGGATATCTGGTCTCTGGGGATCATGGTCATAGAGATGGTCGATGGAGAGCCGCCGTACTTCAACGAGCCACCGCTCAAAGCCATGAAAATGATCCGAGACAACCTGCCCCCCAAACTGAAGAACCTGCACAAGGTAGGTACAAAGACCACACCGGCTGTGTGAAGCAACAGGACGAGACATCCAGGAACACATCAGGATGTTGTTTTTGTTCCGCTGTAGCTGAAACAAGTCAATCATTGACGAGTCCTTTTATATTTTAACCACACTTGCTGTAATCAACAGTTTGGTTATAACCTGGGACATTTATTTATCCTCCTTTTAAAAACGTCTCAGAGCTCCCCAAAACATGTCTATAAACCCCTCTATTTCCGCCCTGCTCAAAACAGGCTGTTTCTGTGTCTGTACCTTTAAATATGTAAATGAGCTGTGTCTGACCACGCCCCCTCTCTGGAAGGACTTGCGTGTACTCGGTGCTTTCTCGCTCCATGTCCTATTGTTTACGGTGAGAAGGCAGACTCAGAGGGCAGAACAAACACCTAGCTGTGGGAGTGTCACCCACCTGGGGGAGGGGCTACTGCCCTTTGTGATGTCATGAAGGGAAAATCTCCAAACGGCCTGTTTGAGCACACATTTCTGAAAAGTGGAGCAGGCAAAAGACAGAGAAGATGGACTTTTCTCATCATTGGGGGGTTTGTAGACGGACCAGAGACACATATTAGAGTTAGAGGAACATGGTGAAGAGGATTTTGCAGAATATCTGACCTTTAAGGTTGTTGTGTTTTGGAGTCTGCCAAAGAGTGAGAAACAAAGAAAAGACATTTTGAAGGACATATATCTGCGTTCCTGGCTGCTCTCAGTCATAATAATTAATATAAACTCTGTTCATGTGGCACCTTTCATAATATAAATGTAGGTCAGAGTTCTGAATAAAATGGACTTACAAACATTAGGGCTTCTCGTGTGAATAGACTGAATAAACAAACATGGACATGATGGCATCATTATGTAAATAAGATGGAACATTAAACCCACTTTAGAGTAAAAATGTGTTTTAACTCTGTTAATCATTTTTTGTCTTTCAGTATTAGCCTCTTTTTTTTTTAACATAATATCCTTAAGGATAATATATGTTTGTGTATCACAGATCGAGAGGGAAACAGTGAACTCAGTGTGCAGACACCATGACTCATAAGCTCTCTGTGTGTCCCTGCATCCACAATGATTAAAGCCAGACGAGAACTCATATCGAAATGGAAATTAATAAGTGGATTCCCACAGTACGAAAACACGCAAACGCATGAACACAGTAACTGAAGTGTGTTTTTGTCTCTCTGTTCTCCACCTTTGGTTCAGATTCTGACTGTAAAAGTTATTTTTTTATAGTTATCAAATAATCTGGCAAAGACACTTTGTTTAGTATGAGAAATAACAAAGAGATAGGTTTGATTAGCACTGTAATTTTCCATGATTTTCATTGTCTTGATTTATTGTTTAATTGTTGCTGTTTTAGTCATATATCAATGAGCAAGTTCAAATATGTGAGTCTAGTTACCAAATGTGCAAAATGTCTGAATTTATTAGACTATAGATGAAAGAGCGTCACATAAACTTTTTTTAGTCCCCAGCATCCAACTTCTAATGCACGAGCAGCTACCTGATGTGTAGCTTACTTACTCCCACTTATAATTAACGCTCTGCATGTTCTCCTCCCTCTGCCACAGGTCTCTCCTCTCCTCAAGGGCTTCCTGGACCGGATGTTGGTGCGGGATCCGGCTCAGAGGGCCTCGGCCAGCGAGCTCCTCAAGCATCCGTTCCTGACGAAGGCGGGCCCGCCGTCCTGCATCGTCCCTCTGATGAGGCAGAACAGGATGAGATGAGACACGTGACACTTAAGACCTCCGGACTGCGGAGGGCAGCGTGTGCAGGTTCAGGTGGATCCGGATCCTCCTGCACACAGACGAGAGGTCAAAACTGTGCTCAGAGCTTCAGAGCAGGAGTGCAGGAGTATTCTCTTTTTCCTCTGTGAATCACTGAACCGAGGGGAGTGTGCTCCCTTTACAAGAGGCAATAAGGCAGTGTGTGCGTGTGTGTGTGTGCGTGTGCGTGTGTGTGTGTGTGTGTGTGTGTGTGTGTGTGATTGAGTTGTGTACGTGTGTTTGTATGCGTGATTGAGTTGTGTGTGTGTGTGTGTGTGATTGAGTTGTGTACGTGTGTTTGTATGCGTGATTGAGTTGTGTGTGTGTGTATTTGTAAACCTGTTGGAAACACTGTTAATGACGGTGTTTCATGGCTCATACGTGTGAGAAGAAGAAGAGCAGAGAAGCCACAGCCCGCCTGTCGAGTGATTTTACTTCTTTTCAACATTTTGTTCCAATCGAAGGGCCTGACCTGGAAAGAGTTCTGCTTTTAATATTTCCATTTGGACCTGAGCTGGATTTGAAGTGTGAAGGTGGTTTTGCACACCGACCTGATGTTTGGAAGGCGACACAGGTTCGCTGTCCGGCTTCAGAAACAATTGTAGACACTTTTTTTTTTCTCACTCTTTGAGGATCTGGGAGCCGAATGTTCTCACTACAAAGACTTCTGACGCAGACGGATCCCAGACTCGGACTCGATCCTCATCACACCCAGAACCTACTACTGAGGGAGGAAAACCTTACACTCAGAAATGAGTCAGACTTTTATTGTAGCCGGATAAACACTAGCTTCCTGTTGTAAACAAACACACACACACTATGTCAGGAGATCAACACTGGAGTTGTGTTTTTTTTTAACAGATGAATTTTACTCTTTTTTTCTCCCCCCTCTTTATTTCCCTGTGTAAGTACAATGAACATAGAGAGATATATCAGTTTTGATGTTTTGATATCTCTATTTTGTGATTGTTTTTATTATGATGATGATTTGTTTCACGGTTTATTTTAGAGAAAGATGTGATCGATGTTTTGAAGCACTGTTGATAAGAGATAGAAGCTGCACTCCCAGTTAATTTCACACGATAGACACTAGACTTTTATTTTGTGTATTTTATTACTCTAGACTACGACATGTGAGCAGGTCGGTTTTTACAGAAACGTGAGGGAGAATAACAGACTACAGCTGAACAGATGAGACATCCTGACATAACAGCTAAAAAAAAATAGTCCCAATTTACCTTTAGTCTATTTGGGTGTCTGGTTTCATCAGCGTCACCTTTTTAGATGATGAGTGATTTCAGCAGACGATGACTCAAACTGAAATAACGTCTACTTGAGGTAGAAAACGAGCACGAGCTGCTTTTTAGGCAATCAATGACTGAGTTGTTTTTATTCTGCGGTGTCAGTCTGTTGACATCGTCGCTGTTTTTCTGATGTTCTGCTGACGTTGAGGAGAGCTCGTCATGTTCCTTTACGCCTCTTTGTCCGATTTAATCGATTATTCTTTAATTGCAGCTCCTGATGTGAGAGTGCTTTATGTAAAAAAAAGCCCAAAGGAGTATAACTGCTGAGGAAGAAAAGCAGCTTTGTTTAGATCTTTTTTGTAATTACCAACATTTTGCTCCGCTAGCGAGGCAGGAAATACGTTTATTAGAACTCCCTGCGACCACAGAAACAGCCTCTACAGATGTTCTCTTAACAGGCTGAAGTCGGGGTCCATGGTGGAGTTAATAACGCTGCTTAGAACACTACATGAACTTTCATATCCCCTGCATCAAACATCCCCTACAGACCGCCTCAGCAGCCACCCAGAAAGCGAGTTCCGCTCAACTCGTCTCCGCTCTGGTTCCTGTCGTTCCTCTTCTCCTTTTGTGTTGGGTCAGGTTTCATCAGAAGACTTCTGTAGTTTCACACTGTATCTCTCTGGTAGCAATGAAAATAGTAACAAAGACGGGGGGGCCATGGTTACGTCTTCCCTCTCACATAGAGATGCACATAAACACAGGATGTAGACACTTTCCCCTCTCTATGCTAAGACTGCTGTTTCCAATCGTTCTGTCTTCCAGATCAGCTGCTGCAGAGAGCGTCCTCCAGTCAGATCAGACACAGATTACTAAAAACCCACTGGTTAGCTTCTCCTTTCAATAAATACAGAGAACACTTTGTGGTGTTAAGATGCGGCCTCCTGTCAGGGATACTTACTTTATGTGTCCACGACGTTACAAAGACAGGGTTGCAAGTTTTCTCTGCGTTGTAGCACACATTTATTACACACATAAACAGATTTGATACTCACTGCTGTATCAGTGACTGTGAGGCCTTGTGAGGAAGAATAGCAGCACAGAGTAGGAGGAAGACTTTTTTTTTTAAACAGGGAAGTTGGTTTTATTCCAAGCTCCCAGTTTGTTTTCTAAAATTGTTGAATATACTGAACCTGCAGAGAGCAGCAGCTTTGGTGTGAAGAGAAGTGTTAAAGTGGCCGTCATCGTGTTTGTTATTGATATGTAGCTGCACATGATGGAGGATGTGAGACTTGATAACTTCTGCAGAAAAGCAGCAGTAGCCTTCAGGGTTTGTTTTCACTGTGGTTACTGATGCTCAGTCCATTAGGCTGCACCTCAAACCACAGAGAACGTACTCCCCTCCTTAGCATCGTTTGTCTGCAGCTACAGGCTAACAGTGCAAGCAGAGAAACGTAGCTTCATTTAACAACACGTATCGTCATGTGATCATGCCTCAGAGCATGTTCAGTCTGCGGGCTGCACGTTGATTAATCTTCAACTTTGTTCCCACCGCTTCAATTCTTTCCTCGGGAACGTTCACTGAGAGGAAGAATCTTTGTGGTGGGCGTTTTTGTACTTTGTCTCCTCTTCAGCTCGGCAGGCAAAACCATTTTTTTTTAGCTGTGTCAGTTTCTGGATCTTTTTTTGGTCTGAAGTGGGTCAATCATGACTCACACACATTACGAAACACGTAGAGAGTTCTAATGTTTATAATCAAGAGACAGGAAGGCCAAGCTGAATGAAGCGATGGGCTGACAGACAATCAGCTGGAGAGGAGAAATTAAATCAGTTAGTGTTTCCAGTTTTCTGTTTTGAGTCAGAATCTCACATTTGAATATCATTTGAATATGGATGCCACTTTTAAATCCAGTGACAGACTGCACATGTTGATTCATCACTTAACTTTAAAGACAGGTGAATGGGTTTACAGCAAACACACCTCATACTGAAGGTGAGACTCCTCCTCCTGATCAGTCCTGGTAAATGTATCTGTCATGTTTCCTGCTTTTCTGTTTGAGAGACCAATGACATGATCGACTGTAATCTGGATACTGACGGAGTATTAGAGCCGCTGAGAGGAACAAAATGATCATCTGAGTTATTATAGCAGCAAGAAAAGGTGATAGTTTGATAAGAAGGACATGATCTTTGGAGGTAAAAACACTAAGGCTGGTTGCTTTAAGGGTCAGAGCTCCTCGTGTTGTGATGAGGTTCACACACTGCAGCCCACAGAGAGAAAACACTCTTGAGTTTGGACCCTGCTGTGCTCTGAACAAAGTTACAATTCATCATTTAATCAGCCTCATACTTTGAGCTCTCTTTGTGAACTTTTAGAAATATTCTTCTAACTTTATTCATTCTCATATCAGCGTCTCTAATACTCGTTTGTTGTGTTGGCGTTCCTTCAGTTCAGCTGTACACAAACAAACTGTGACATGAAACACTTTAAAGGATGTTCCTGTTACACTTCATCACACATTACATCTGTGTTTTTTTTCTTTTATCGTCAATGTGAAAATCACTTATCGGTTTCTTCTACTGTTGGACTGATGTTGCTGATTCAGTAGACTGTAAAACACACTTAGTGAACCAGATTCTACTGCTGTGTGTGTGAGCGTCTGTGTGTGTGTGAGAGCATGTGTGTGTGAGCTCTGTGAAGCTATGTCTGTGTGCATATTCAGTTCATGCCTTAACATTATCAATCACTACTTGACAGATTGTGACTCTGAATTGAAACTACGACTGTTGGAGATGTTGAAAGGAGAATCCAGGAAGCTTCCTCTCCTCATCGCTCGTAACTGAAAAAGTCTTGACGTCATTTTTTGGGGCCCGGTGGTGTTTGCTCCTTCAGGCTGAAGTGCTCATTAACATTCCTGACAATTTTCAAAAACAGTGGAGGGCACTTCTTCAGATTGATTTTTCAAGAAGCAGGACTGTTACGACTCGTCTCTGTTGGCGCCTTTCTGCTTCACAAAGAAGAGCGCCCAAAGCTCTTCTGTTCATTCTTGATTATTAGCAGGCGATTAGCCGCTGTAGTCCTCCTGTTCAGGGTTTAGTGCCTTGCTTTGCAGCATCTTCACGACTGTCCAGGTAAAGTCTTGCTTCTTGGAAAACCCCTACCTGGTTTCCTCTGCCAATCAGCAGCCCGCTCTATCAAATATGTGACAACAAAAACTCTTTTTATGGACTCATCTGGTTCTCATTGACTCTCTCCTGGTGTGAAAAGCTGGTTTTGATGACATGTTCTGTCAAACTTCAGGTTCCGACAGTCGTTCCTGCACCATCCTGTTTTTTTTGTAAATCTCACTGGTATTGTAAAAAAAAAAACTAGATTTCACTTTGCAAATACAGATTTTTTAAAAGTCATCCCTCCTGTGTGTTGTCTGTTCCTCTCGTTTGTTTGACATGTTTATTCTCAACACTCCAGCCCTGTTTCACTCACTGATGTTGCTACTGAAGAATGGAACGTTTTTGTCTTCCTGTCTTTCTTTTTGTCTTTCACACATTGAAAGCAGGCAAAAGACAGAGAGGATGGATTTTTCTCATCATTGGGGGGTTTGTAGACGGACTAGAGACACATGTTAGAGTTAGAGGAACATGGTGAAGTGGATATTGACCCTTTAAAATCAAAAATGTAATCAGGAGAATTAAACTACCAGAAAAGAAAAGGAAGAGGAGATAATCCACCAAAACATCTGTTCAGATAAATGAGGCTGCAGCAAGTCACAGGATTTTATATATAGAACCTTGAATCTGAATATCTTACTGTAGATAAAAAGATTGACTGAAAACATGCCTGGTATAAGTTTCCTCCTGCTGCCTGATGAGCTGCTTTTTTTTTTTTAACAATTTTCCGGTTGTATGTCAGCAGCAGAGTCAGCACAGTTTTATTTTTAGCACTTCCGTCAAGTCGCCAGTCAGTCGCAGCAGCAGCAGCAGCAGAGCAGCATGTTGAGCTGCAGCTCTGCAGACTGAAACTCTGCAGCTTTACTATAAACAGACTAAAAGGAGACAAGAGGCACAGACCTCAGGTCAGCTGTGTTTGTGCTCTCTGTGACAGAAAGTCAAGTTTTCAGTTAGTTTCTTATAAAATACCTGGATTTGGAGTTTAGCGTGTAATTTGAGATTGGGTTGTCACCATACTAGACTTTTAAACTTTGATGGGATTGTAAAAATCAAAAGATATTGTAACCTGTTTTGAAACCACGGCAACAAAAATTGGAAGCAAACACCTGCACCTGTCTGAATTACACAAATACTGACATGTTGTTTCTCTATCTACATCTGTTTGGGATATGATGGATCAGTGTTTTGATCTGGGCGGCTGTGGCTCAGTTGGTAGAGCCGGTTGTCTCTCAACCGGTAGGCCGAGGGTTTGATCTCCAGCTCCTGCAGCAACATGTCTGAGATGTCCTTGGGCAAGACACGTAACCCTGAATTCCTCCTGCTGCTTCATCAGTGGCCTATGAATGGGACTTCTGATGGACTCTTAACACAGCAGCCTCTGGCATCAGTGTGTGAATGTGTAGGTGTGACCTGCAGTGTGAAAGCTCTTTGAGTAGTCAGAGCTCAAGTCCATGTACATGTTCTGAAATTATGTCCTGGTGATTTTCAAAGATCAGAATCCAAAACAAAAACAGGTTTCTGTTCTGCTCACCGTATTTCAGCGATGTTGATTTGAGGTGTAGATGGGTTCGCTACCTCTGATTTTTTTTGACCAACAATGAGTAATCCAGTTTTATCTGGACGTTGCTAAACATCCAGGAGTTAGTATCTTTTATGCAGTCTGTTAATTATTAAAATAGGACTAAAGTCATCTGATGACAGAGAAATATACGTGTGTGTCATCAGTGTATGAATGAAGGATATATTGTGTTTCTCCATGATTGTACCGAGCAGCAGCATGCGTAGATTAAAGAAAGAGTACAGTAGACCTGCTCTTTTTGTAAAGGGTCTTGATACAACATTTGTTATTTAGAGATTCATTAGTTTTGTGCTTTCTTCTAGGTTTATTGGGGTCTGGTTTTGGGTTGAGGTGGGAGCCCTTATTCATTTTATGGACTAATTAAGAAAGAAAAACAGTCAAATATGACTTATAGGGAAACAAGTTCGGTCGGAATTGCTTAAAAAAAATGGCATAATAGAGTAAAACACCTGTGAGATACAGAGGGAAGAATACCTGTCTGTATCATCAGTCTACTGTGTGTGTATGTGTGAGCCGCGCATGTGGGCGGGGTTAGGCGGTCTCGAGCAGCCAATAGGGAGCTGTGTGTCAAACACAGCTGATCGATGAGTCAGGACCGGAGAGCTGAAAAGGTCTCACTTGTTGCTGAGCAGGAGCTGCGAGCTTCAGCAAGAGGACCCGAAACCAGAACCCACATATTCACTCGTTCCTCTTTTTTGTAAAAAAAAAAAAACCTGAACCAGGAGCGGGATCAGGATCCGTGCAGACCGATCAGACTCTCCTCTGCACCGTCACACCGCTGCTGTCTGTTTACAGCCCTCAGGTGAGACACTTCTCACGTTTATTCTGCTTCAGTCTGCTCCATTCAAACAGAGCAGGGGACGAAAGATGGGATTTAAATGTGATCGTTGGATTCGTGCTCTGACTGATTGTGTGAGCAACACCAGCGCTGTGTTTTTCTGTATTTCCGATGAAACAGGCTGAATTCTTGTTATTGTAGTTTTTATTTCATGCAGAGGTCATATATACTGATGCGTTATGAAGAGTGTAATGATTGTGATTTGAAACACTAATCAGAGCAGGAACCTGATGGTGAACTCACGAAGCTTCTCTTACCTCTCTCCGTGTTGCTGAGGAACAAAGCAGCTTTTCTACATAATAAACCGTTTCTATACAGTCTCTATTGGGGGGTCCAGGGTTCACTGAGGGGGGTCCGACAGGTATGACTGACCGGATTAAAGAGGAGAGGAGACGATTATGTAGCACCCCGGGGTGTCGAGGATTTCAGGTTTTCAAAGAGGGGTAACAGATTTTAATTTAGAGTTTGGGGGGTTTATTTTAAGGGATTATTTTCACTATGGTGAGGTGTGTGTGTGTATTGGATGTGTGTGTATTCTGGATGTGTGTGTGTGTGTTTTGGAGGTGTGTGTCTGTTTGTGAACCCTCGCCCTGCTGTGAAGGTCTGTTACTTCAGGTGACACCACTTGAGGTAAAGCAGAACTGAAGTGAGACTCTTGTGTCTCCTTCTCTCCAAAGTAACTCCCCTCTGACTGTTGAAGGTTAAACATATTAAATATGATTCAATACAACTTTATTTAAACTAAACATCATCAGTTTAACACTAAAACTAGAGACATTCAAACTTTGAAAAATAACCGTGTATTAGAAATAATCTCAGAAATTAAGTTATGAACAATTTTAAAAGATGGTAAGGAGGTTAGGGAGTGAGGAAGTAGGAAAATACGAGCCTGGCTGATTATTCTACTTTCATGCAGCGTGCTACACAGTATTCTAGTCATTCATCATCTCGGTGTAAAGTCTCAGCAATTAAAAAAAAAAAGATTGTTATGGTCTTGACTGAACAGTTTTTATGAGGAGCGCGTCTCTGTCTTCTTCAGATGTATAAACTTATGACAAAAGACCTCACAAACTTGGACTCACATCATCTAACATGGAGCAGGGCGAGTCTTATGACGTATACTGCTGCCAGCCAGCAGGGGGAGCTCTAAATATTTTTGTTTCACTTCCAGGCAGCTGTTGCTCTGTCCATTTGAATTTACAGTCATATTGTCTCTCACACATTTATTTGTTTGTTTGAATAGTTATTCAGGAGATTTGCACAACACTTAACTAAACAATGCAGACAAATAAAAGCCGAACAATCTGTAATATTTACAAAAATCTCAGAAAATCATCTGCATGTTTAACAAAAAAAGTTGGTGGGTGATTCGAGTTGTGCACCCCTCTCCGCTCACTGTGTCCCTGTGACCGGTTCAGAAATGCAGCATCAGCACTTCCACAGTGTGCAGGTTCAGTGTTCATTGTGGAAACTGGCTGAAAGAACCACAGCCTACAGGGCGTGGCGGTGATGCTAACACGCTAACACGCTTACTCTTCAGTTTAAATTAAGGGACTAGTGAGGTTGTTAAGAGGAGGTCATTCCAACATGGAGTCCTTCATGATGCATCTGCAAGTTTCTGCAGAAGCCCAGATTGGACAAACCAAATATGGACTTTTTGTTTACTTTAAAGTCTGGAAAGGGTTTTCCCACATGTTTGGAGGTAAAGAGTGAGGACAGTGGTCATCACTTTGTAAAAACCTGAACTCTTAAGTGCTCTAGTTTTCACTAAAGCCTGCACACTGTAAATCCACTTAAATTACAGCTAAGGGGAAGTTTAGAAGGTGTGATGAAATGTGTTTCTCTTCCTCCTTGTGGTATTTTTGAATATTGCAAAACGTGTCAAGCGGACTTCTAAAACCTCGTCGGCTCAAACTCTTTTGCATATTTTGTAATTGTGTAGGAGTCTTATGAAGCATTAGTCTAATAAATAATGTTTGCATGTTGATCTCCTAAAGCCAGATCTTGATCAGAGAGCAAAAACAACATCCTGAAGGTGAACTTGAATCCCAGGTCCCTGCAGGGTTTGTCCTTGTTTGACAGACTCATTCAGAAACAGTTAATCATCCGAGCAGAGAGAGTAAAGTTCATCAGTGCAGGTGTCTCCTCTGCAGCTACTGATCAACCCGACAGACAGTCAGATGTGGTTCAGAGGGGTGAAGAGAACAAACCGAGAGTCAGAGCAAATCCTCCAGGGGTCAGATGTGATCATCTGTCTTAATCTAGAGAGCTTCCTGCAGTGTTATCTGGAAATATTTATTTTCTTTAACTCCCCTCCTCTTCCTCTGTTTATACCAAACAAACCTCTGTTGTAGCTGGAAACAGAAAATGCATAATTTCCTGTGAGCCTGAGTCATTTAACACAAAATAATGCAATGTTGTTTTGACCACCAGTAAGAGACTGTGTGCACATTACCATGTAGGGCTCCAGTTAAACATGCATGGACCGAATCTCGCTGCATGACCTCCATGATTGTGACTGTCGGCTGCCCGGACCCGGTCTGAATGTTTGAACCCCCATGTGCTGAATGTCAAACACCTGCTCCTGTTGAATGGAGTCTGTTGCCTCTAAAGGAAAAAAGTTTGACCACTGTGTGTGGTTTAAAAGAATAAACAAAGATCTCACCTTTTACAAGAAGATCTACCTCTGACATCATCCTTCATCATCCTTTATCACGTCCACTTTTGTCGGGTTTAGTTTTGCTCGTTTCATCCCATAGACTTCTGTCGGCTGAAGCAATCGACGCCGAGCATTTCCGATTTTTTTTTTAGGGCAGGTGTGAATGTTTTTTTTAGACCGCAAAATATAAAAATAGGACCCTGGTTGTTAAATGTCAGAATTCCCATTTCATAGAAGACAAATATGCAACAACAAAAAATCCCAATCAGCCCACACTAACCCTCCCACACATCCTCTTGTGGTTTAAAAAAAAAAAAGAGAAAACATTAAGAAATTAAGCAAACAGACGGCGACAAACAGAATATATTTATGTAAAGAGAGCCACACCTGAAGTTATAATCCTATTACAGATAGACGTAACTCTACCTGTCCAGGTGTAACAGTTAAAGTTCTTTATACTTTATTAATCCTCTGGGGGAAATCCAAGTTCACACCCTGTTATTGAGACATGTTTCTCCCACACATCCAGACATACACACCTAAAGGATTTGCTTTAACACAGAGATGTCAAAGGGAGGGGAGGCGGCCCACAGGGAGCGCTCCTGAGCTTGTGGAGGTTCAGTGTCTTGTTCAATACGAGTGCACCTCTGCAGTACTCGGAAGTGATCTGGCACCTCTCCAGCAACCAATTTGAATTCTTTGGTCCTGGACCCTCTCGTTCCCGCCCTACAGACTGAGCTGCTGCTGCTGTCTCCATATCCTCTGAAACTTCTCTGCAGAACTACTTAAACTGAGAACCTTTATAAGAGGTCTGAACTTTCCCCCCTGGTGTTTGGATATGATCACATTTTCGCACAAAGATGAGTGATGTTTAGCAATGACTCCAATCAAAGCACTATCGGTTTGCACATCAATACTGATACCATGTCTTACAGCGAGTGAAAGTTGACCGAGCTTTTACCTTTGGAGCTCCCAGTCTGTGATTCTGTCTGCTGTTAACATCTTCATATTATTTAGAACCATTTTTGAATACTTAAATACCCACTTTTATTATAATATTTTTTTAACCGGGAGTATTCTCATTGATACAAAAATCTCTTTCACAAGGGAGCAAGAAGCTTCACACAAACAACAAACATCAAGCAGAAATGACTTCATCCTTGACCCTGATTATAAAACCTCCGGAACTAATAGCCTACATAGTTGGAGTTAAACACGGGCCTGTGGCTCAGACCGAGATGACGGAGCAAATACATGAAAAGGTCTTCACTAAAGACGGAGAGAGGGTTTCTTACATGATGGACCCGTGAGAGTGAAGGTTACAGCTGCTGACAGTTCTAGGAGTCAGAAGTGAGACCTGATAAGAAGCTAGTACATAATGTAACGATGTTTCATCCTTCTGTTGTGTAAGGAAGACAAACAACTCGCTCATACAAGACACAACTCACACCAGAGACCAATCACAACGCAGCACTGTACGATGAGTGCAGGAATTAAAGGCTTTATATGTGATTTTTCACACTTAAATGTAGAAATCAAGTATATCCTCTGAAAATAACTCTGTGAGTCATGACTGTCTACAATGGGTGTAACACCCGAGTCCCACTGTCTGTGATGTTTTCAGAGTTTTCAGAGTCCTATCTTCAGTTTGTTTACATCGCCAGGACGGCCGGCTGACTCCTCCCCTCGTGTATAAAAGTTGTTTAATTGAGGAACTAGAGAAAAGAAGAATAACATACTGTACTCACTGCTTAACTGTGTTTCTAGATCACGCTCATTTCAGGTAAATTTACATGCAGTGTGAAGATACCAGCATGATAAAGATCGCTAGCATTAGCATGCTAACACAACAATGCAGCACGAGTTGTTTTGGTTTCATGCTGGTGCTCAAGGGCGACATCTACTGGATCAAAAAAATCACATATAAAGCCTTTAAGAATATCATTATAGTTAATAACAGATAAAAAGCTGATTAATTATTTTTCTCCAATCAAAAGAAAAACAGCGTTTCTTTCTGCTGACCTAACCCAGTTTCACCCTTTTTAAAATAACACCTTTCTGAGGAACACTGGGTGAACGTGTGAGGAACAGTGCCGTATAAATAAAGTTATATTAATCATCACTTCTCAGAAAGCACAAAGGATGTTGGGCTGAAATACGTAGGTAATGTGTTTTTGTCATCAGAATGAGTTCGTGCAGCCGCAGCAGATTGTAGTGACGCCTCAGACGTGGAGTCGTCTTTACATTCTGTGCAGCCTTCAGTGTTCGTCCTGCAGCAGAGGAGCAGATGGTGTGAGCAGAAATCAGTGGGGGAAAGTGACATTTCAAATCTCATCCAGTTTGCTCTTCTTAGTGATCCTAACTGTGTCGGCGTTGATGCGTCACATCTTTTTATCACGACTTTGTAATCGCTTAAATCGTGAAAACGTGGTCAGAATGACAGCTTAGCGAGACTTTTCACAGGTTTCATTGTTACCATAATGATGTCACAAAATACATGAAATAACATTACAGTGTGCAGTTCTCTCAGGAGAAGGAGCTGAGGATGAATTTGGAAGAATATTGGTGTTGTCATAATAATCCTGCAGCCGATCTGTTCCCGGCTCGACAAACATTACAGCAGAAGTTCTAATATCACAGAGAGAGAGAGAGAGCGAGAGAGGAGCGATGACTAAGAGCCAGATCTCCCACGCAGACTGTGGTCACACAGACAGAGCTGTGTGTGTGTGCGTGTTTTAATGCATGTCTGTATGACTTTGTTAAACCTCTATAATGTTGGGTCTGTGTGTGTGTCTGCCCTCCTGGCACACTGAGGCGGGGGGGAACGTCCCTCGCTGCTCCACAGATGAATACTATCTCGTGAGATTTGGATCCAAACAGAAACCTTTAAACACCAGAGCACACCTACACACCCACTAGAAACACACAGTGGCATTTACACAGACTGTGTGGCAGAGGTCGGCTCGGCATGGCACGAACTCTGTGACAGGAAGTGTGTGTGTGTGAGAGCGGGCTGCTGTAAGTCATCTGGAGAAGGAGTGTGGTGTTGTTGTGGTGATCAGGTTTGTGTAGCTGCTGTCAGCTGTCTCTATGGTCAGTGTTGAGACTTTAAACTGTGGGAGGTGACACTTTCACCGTCAGGCCGCGGAAAGTTATAGATACTGATTAGAGCTCTCAAGAACTGCCCTCAATGTTGTGCTTTGCCTCTGGTCACTTCCTGTCAGCACCTGTGTGTCCAATCAGACTCAAAGCTGATCGTTTGCTCTTACTCACATTGTTCCCTTTTTTCTAGATCCTTGCTTGTGTTGTTCTTACTCTCTGATGTACGTCGCTTTGGATAAAAGAGTCTGCTAAGTGAACTGTAGGATTGAACATGACCTCAGCAGCTCGTACAAACTGAAGGTGGCGATCCAACACATTTAGAAATCTTGTTACAAAACAGACTGAAATTAATACTGATGTCTCTTTATGACCTTCAAAAGCAGCACAACCATCAGAGAGACGTTATTTATTTCTCTGGGATTATATCACGGCCTGTCTCAGTGTTGGGTGTCAGTCGAGGAGATTCATCGATATGCTGCCAAAACACCTTTTCTTTACATCTTTGCACGCCAAAAAAAGTTCAAGAGATTTTTGCCTGAAAACAAAACTTCAGCATGTACAGGACAAGATCCGCAAAAACAATGACACATCCCACTTTGTCCACAGGGGGCGCCAACATCAACAAACCTTTAAAGCTCCTCATGGGGAGATTTCAATCATGGAAGCTCTTAGAGGACATAAATCAACACATTGAATTTATCTGTGTTTTCCTGTGATAATTAAGTCAGTTGTTTTCTCCAGATCTCATCTCATCTTTGTCATTATCTCGGGATAACATCGCTGGTTTTCTCGTGATAAGAAGTGAATTTCCCCTGTTTTCGTATTCTTGAGATATTTCGCTTGTTATCACAGGAAAACCAGCGCTGTTATCCCGAGATCATGAGATAGATAATTTGAGTTTTTGAGAAAACAACCAAAATGTGCTCTGTATCACAGGAAAACAGAGTTACACTGGATGTATTGTCCCCTTCGGGCTTCCGTATTAAATCACATTAGGAAATTAAATAGTTGTTTTGATATTTCTAAAGGCCGCACGAACATCAGTGAAGTTAAACTGAGTTTGTATGTTGACTCCTGCAGCTTGAAGGTTTTGTAAAGCACAGGCAGGAAGTCTGCTGTGGTTCAAATTTCAGTTTTTTGTTTGTCAGGCAAACATGAAGTTCTTAAGTGGTTTCAGCTGCTCTGAGATCAGCAGGACAGTCAGCACAGGTGTGAGTGAAGACGGCAGCTGGCTCAGCCCCCGTCTGCCGTCTCTGGTTAAACGCAAACAGCTGTAAACTGTCTCACAGCTGACACTCTTTAAAAAACAACGTTTTCATCCCCAGATGTGATTCACTAAACTGAGGCTGAAATCTTGAGCTGTTAGTGAGAGAGGCGTGACCTTCTGCTTCTCTTTAAAGATACTTGACCACCCTTCTTGTGTGTGTTAGTGTGTGTGTGTGTTAGTGTGTTAGTGTGTTAGTGTGTTAGTGTGTGTGTTAGTGACTTCATCTCTCTTCTCTCTTTCAGGAAGTCCACTTTGATGTCTGCGTCAGTCCTGTCTTCATGTGGACGCTTCAGTCTGCTCGGTGGACTCCTCCTCCTGGCCTCCTCTCCGATCCTCACTGCAGGTACGACCTCTGACCCCTACAGTCCACACAAACCCCCCCCCCCACTCCTGGACATTTCAGGACATTTCATGTAGTCTTTGTTCATACACCAGTCTTAGGATTTAAACGTCACCACCCCTTCCTGCTCTCCTGCGCTGCATTTTTCTGAATTGTTCCTGCTGCATTCTCACATCTGCTCACCCCTACTTCACACAGAAACATGTATAAGGGGCTGGCAGGAAAACTCCAGGTAAAGTCGGTGTGAAAAATTCAGCTGATCGCGTTCACACATGCAGCTCGACCTGAATATTTCAGGAAGTTGTCAGGAGTTCAGTGCATTTTAGGAAGCATGAAAAGTGTCCTGTAAGTCTCAGGCTGTGGAAAAACTGACATCAGCTACAGAAGAATGAAGGGAATACAGCAGAATTTAAAAGGGGAAATTCAGTCTTTAAAAAACAATATACACAGATTACTTTCTATCACAGACAGGTTTACAAATTTTGAAATTAAAACATTGTGTCTTTTTAAAAGAACAGATTCAAAAGCCCTGGGTGAAGTCATATTGAGAAGTATATTTCCACACTTCAAAGGGATTTAAAGTTGGTCTGCTGCATCTCAGTAATAATGAAAAAGTGAGAAAAGTGTAAACAGATCATCTTTTGCATTTCATATCATTTCATCGAGACACATATGAGACGTGTCTGAGCTGTGAGATGCTGAAAACAACCTCAAAAACACCAGCCATAAGAAAGCCTTATTTAAATGAATTTAGATCCCGCTCCCGGTTTTGATCACTTCCTGATGACTGATTGTGAAACACTAAATGAACTTTAACATGCAGGATGTGAGGCGACGTTCTGCACAGCTCAGGGTGCTCGCTCTGTTTTCTGAGGTTTGAAAACGAGCCGTCTTTTGTTCTTCCCTTTTTTGATTAATTAGATCTGCCTTTTTTTTCACGAGTTCATAATAGATTTTATCGACTCCGTTTTCAGAAGCTGCTGTCACCTCTTGAGACCTCCTTTTTCTAACTGTGTGAATAACTTTTTATTGGTACAAAGCTGTCTCTTCTGTTGGGAGACAACCAGAGAAAGATTGACTTTTGGTCTAGTTGGAGCTTCACTTGTAGATACTGAGATGATTGTGTGATCTTCATGCTCAGGCTGAAGCAGCTTTCAGAAGCAGCAGAATCATCATTTTACAGACGTAGACGTTTTTAGGTTGAAGGTGGTGAAATAGAGGAAGTGGGTAAGACTGCTCGCTGCTCGGGGCGAAGCGGCCCACTGGGCAACACAGTTAGGAGGATGTCAGCAACTTCTGAGTGTGAGTGTTTTTCCCTGAATGAGCAGTGAGATGCAGGGGGAGGAGCGTGAAGTCTGCAGCATGTATGTGTAGATATTCTGCAGGTATCTCGGACCCTCTGCAGAGTCTTTAACACGTCCACGTTATGAGTTTTGTTTACAGTAACAACATCACCTTTTATGACCTTTCACACTGAAAGTTTTCCTCACTCTCCATCCATCAACCCTCTCACCCCGACACGACTCTGTGTGCTCCTCCTCTCACAGAGCGCTGAAAACACAACAAGAAAAAAACAGACACACAGGCGCTGACTCGTCCAAGGGGAAATGTAACTGAGCTTCATCAGAGTTGGGTTTTATTTTGTGGAAAATACACTATCTTGCCTGTGTGTGTGTGTGTCTCAGGGTCAAGGCTGCAGAGTGTGGTGCTTTCCAAACTGCAGGGCTTTCATTTTATTGCTTGAACTGATTACATTTACTGCCCCAGTAATTGGACATCATCATAAAACATGGTGGAAAATCCCTTCAATAAACCAGTCAGAAGCTGCTCGATAAATACCCTGAGTCTACAGTTGATGGACGACACATTTATATGACTTGTGCTGTTTTTGTTGTTTTAAAATCTATGAATTAATGTCAGTTTAAAGGACAATTCTGTATTTTACAAAACAGCCTCCAGAGTCCTAGTCAGAGATTTTTTTACAGCAGAAACTGAAGAGAAATCTCTGAGGTGTGTGTGTGAAGGTTGTTGTTTGTGGAAGGAGTGTTTATCCTCCTCTTTGAGGCCAAAAGAAAACAGATGCATGTGGAGGTTTGGGGGGAGGTGGGGTAAGGAGGGAGAGGAAATGATGTTTTAATGCAGAGGAATATAAACCTTAATAAAGTTTAACAATGATTTTGCATTTAAAGACTTTTCGTCCTTGTGCTTTGTGTGCAGGACGGCAGAATAACTGCACTCACCCTCTGGTTCCTGAACATGGAGGCTTCCGCTGCGACCCGTCGCCGTGTCGAGGTTTCCACCAGAAGAGCACCATCCACCTCTTCTGCGAGCCGGGCTACCACATCAGCAACAAGGTCCGCGTGTCCAGGTGTACTCACGGGAAGTGGAAGCCTCAGATCCCCACCTGTGTCCCCATCAGAGGTGAGGAGTGTAGACCGTGTGAAACCTTTTCCACTCAGGTTGTGTTTACTGATGGTTCAGCGTCTGTTCCTGCATACATCAGGATCAGGGTCAGTGCTCAGGAAGTGAACTGGCCCCCCTCCAGTTCCCACAGACTGCAGCATTTGTCTGGACAGGAGGATCCTAAAACACTAAGCTAATCTCTAACATTTAAACTGTTGTTAACGTCGGTTTCAGTATTTTGATATCATAATATTGAAGTTATCTCAGAGTTCATCTTCACACCTTCACAACATGATAATGAGCTCATAAGGAAACAAGGAGCTCCTTTTTCACTTGTGGTTTCCAAATTAGAGAAGTAAATTATTATGTAAAGAAGGACTAAAGATGTCAGCTGTTCTGTAGAGAAGATCGCTTTCATATCAGTCATTGAGAGAATATTTAAATGAAGCACAAACAGGAGAAAAGTTCAGTTTGTTTTCTTTCTGTTTCTGCCGAGTTCAGCTCAGACGGTAAACATCCCGGGGACATTTTGACCCATCCGGGAACTGCTGATCTTGTAGGACTCATCTCTTTAGACTTCCGAGCAGCCTCTTTTTTAATGTCTGATTAGCTGAGTTTGAATATTTACACAAGTAATGACTCATCATGACTGCACTGACCCAGACGATTAAAAAAAGCTGCCGTCACTTTATGACGGTTCCTTTTTTGTTTGACTTTCAGGAAGTAGATTGTTGTGTCATTGTTGATTTACAGGTTTGATTCCAAGCGAGTTATTAATGATACAATATGGGACGGAGGCCGTAGATGTGATCTGTAGGGACTTTATAAAAACAGACAGATTTCCTTAGAGGCCCTGTGGAGGTTTGTAGAGCAGCACTGATAAAAATAAGACCTTAAATCTAATTTATTTCAAATCTTTGGTAGAAGGGAATTTTATTTTTAGTAGGATTTCCTCGATTCAATCCAATGGGATCAAGTTTAGTCTCATTTAACTTATGAATAAAACTCATCATCCCTATGATCAGGAGGTAAAGTTCAGCTTAAACTTGTATCTCTGAAACATTCTGGGTAGAGTTGGGTGTCATCTTACCATCACAGCACTAAAACTAAAAGAGCTTTAGAGCGTCTTGGCACCTTGAATACAAACCTGAATGTTTGCAGCACTTTGAATCTAGAAGGGGAGAATTAAGTGCATCGTATCGCATCGTCTTCAGGATGATTGTTTGACCTATTTACAGACTCACACGTTCACACTCCCTGCAGAGGACCGAGCAGCTCTCCTCTCCTCAAAGCAGCTCTGACTTCCTCCGTCTCAGAGTGAGAGCGCAGAAACGAGGAAGCGGGCGAAGCCACTGTATTCACCAAACAAACACTTCCTCTGTGACGACGCTGTCAAAGCCTCATGGAAATCTATACCGCCGCAGAGACTGTCACGAGTTGAAGAGAAACCACACAAACAGATACAAAACCTTCCGCTCATTGATCTGTTATTCGATTGTCTATTTCTGTTGAACATACGCAGACTGTCGCAGCGCAGGTGGATGTTCCATGAGCTCACTGCCTTGAAGTTATTTATGTTTTTTACCATTTTTCAACCACAGAGTCGACATAATGCAGTACAGCACTTTTTTTTTCTGAGTACCTCCTGTGGCTGCAACTCAAGATAGGGTTTATCTACATATTCATCATTATATACAGTAGCTTAGGATCACACCGTTGAGGATTTACAGTACGGGGGGGATGTTCTCAACGGGTGCAGACTAAAATGCCCCTGGAAGCTAAAATGAATCAGAACAAACTACAAAGCATGTGGGGTCACAGTATTAGTCAGCGCTCAGTGCTCTGTCTGCATGGTTGCATCCACACGACTAGAACAAAAATGCTAATTCTGATATCCAGTGTATACAGCTTTTATTTATTTTTTCAAAGATTTATTTTTGGGCTTTTTATGTCTTCAATGGAGGAGATAGGACAGTGGATAGAGTCGGAAATCAGAGAGAGAGGGTAACAAGATGTGGGAAAGGAGCCACAGGTGGGATTCAGGCCTTTGCCGCCCGCTTTGAGGACTACAGCCTCCACACACGGGGCGTGCGCACTTACCACAGCATTTATCAACAGGATGCACACATGTACATGTTCAGCATTATACTGAGATCTGAGACTTAGAACATCGCACAGTTTTCACACAAAGAGCCTGAACTTGAATCTCCTCTTTTATCAATGAGCTGGTTGTGATTGAATCAGGTCAGATGTAAATCTCTCTGAATGGAAGAGATGTCAGAACCATCTGTCAGGTTTTTAGACGTTTATGAGATTTAATGTAGAATTGAAAGCAAACTGGTTTGTACTTCCACATGTTATTTGCTCTGAGTTCACGTCTTTAAATGGCATCTTTCGTCTCGCCATCACCCCATGATGTTTTTAACCTGCGTACATGAGTAAAGGAAGCAGGTTTTCAGGATTATGATGTAAATGTTTTGTGTTTTTGTGTCAGCCCCAGACGCTTAACTTCTCTTTGTTTTTGTTTGTTTTTGTGTTTTGACTCATCTTTCTGTCTCTCTCGTCCTCAGGCGGTCCAAACATGAACTCTGACAACAGAGACAACGACTCGATGCCCAGCATGGCCACCACAGCGGTGGGCGTGTCCATCTTCCTGCTCACCACCACTGCCTGTCTGGTCGTCAAGTCCCGCCTCTACCCCTGTCAATCACACAGGTAAGAAAAACAAAAACGTATGAAACCTCGCCTGTGTGCCTCACCTTCCTGTTCCTCATCCATTAACTCTTTGTGTCCCTGCAGCCGGCGCTCCTCAGACCAGCTGGACCTGATGGTGGACGGACTTCCTGTCTCTCTCCCCTCCTACGAGGAGGCGGTGTACGGCAGCTGGGGGCAGCGCCTCCCTCCCTGCTCAGCACCGGGACCCACTCAGCTCCTATTGGCTCAGGAAGCTCCACTCTGTCACCCAGCGTCTCTGAACAACCAATCAGACGGCAGTCAGCGCCCCCTCCTGTCCAATCAGAGTCCAGACAACCCCCCGGCCCCCTACGAGGAGGTGCAGACGTCCCGTCCCAGAGACAGGAGGAGCAGCGGGGACATCAGACATGTCACACTTTCAAATGACAAGGACACCTGATGGACGGACTATACAGTTGATTCTTAATGATGTCACCTTTTTGATTGACAGCTAGCGGCAGCTCAGCCTTTAACTCGGTCTGACCACAAACGCCTGAAGAGACTGTCTGCACTTTTCCTGGTTTGCTTGCAGCTCATCGGGATGCCTTGTCCAATCACAGGACGAAGATGACAAGCTCTGATTGGACGCTGTTTTAAATGAGTTAATGATCGGGTGAAACCTTGTATCTAAAAAAAAAAAGTTTGTTCATAAAAAAGTGTTGTAGAAATATTACAGTTGAGGTTTTTACAGGACGGTGATCGTGCAAAGGTGCAAGTGTGTGTGTGCGTGTGTATGTGTGTGTTTTCAGTGTATCTCTGGAGACGTTATACTTCCCCTCCGTGACGGGGGTCGATTGAGGCTTCCTCGGTGAAGTCTGCTGTGTGCTATATCGTCATGGTAACTGCCTTCATTTCATTTCTTCCCTTTTTTTTGTTTCATGTTGTTTTTTTTGTTTTTTTTGGGGGGTCGCTTCAGACCGATGGCGTTGTGGGGTTTGAAGCCGGCTCGATGCACGGACAGTGGTGACTGTGATGAGCATGTTCGTGGTGGTAACTTTGTATTTAGAGACTTGAAAAAAATGCCTGGAAACCAAAACAGCCTTTAAAAAACGTGTTTCTCGTGTGTTCATTCACCGGTGAGTGAAGTTCAAATATTTTCATGAATGTAAATTAAATAGTTGTGATTTATTTTCGCCCCAGGTGGCATCGGTGCAGACGCGTTCGTAGGTGCTTTTAAAAATGAAATAGAACTTCCAAATAACAGTTTTCATTCCACAGCCTGAAGTCAAACACTGAGAATCTCTGCTGTGTGTGTGTGTGTGTGTGTGTTTGACCTCCGCAGGGCAACTGACGCCTTCTCTGACCTTGAATGTATTTTATGTCTAATTAATCTTATTATTATTATTATTATTATTATTATATGGATAGTAATATTTACAGAACGATTATTTGTACATTGCACAGAATTATATGAGGAATAAATGTTGACATGTTTCTCTGACATCTCGTCTTCGTCGTGACTGATTTGAAGATTCACCTGAGAGTCGACGCAGCAGAGACACCTGAGTGTGTCTGAAGTCTGTGAGGCTAAATCACAAAAGTGTCTCCAAACATGAGATTTATGTTGCTGTAAACAATAAGAGTGAGCTCTATGTTTGACTGAATTATGGATTTAGACTGTTAGAAAGTTTAACTTTTAGTTTCAGGATGAGGAGGTCGGTGTCCTCGAGTCCAAACCTGATTCTGGCTCTGGTGGTTCAAACATGTCAGGCTGAACTGGTCCAACAGAGCGGCCAGATGAACACACTTTTTGACATTTTTAAAGAGACACGTCTTTACCGTGATTGGCCGTAGTTTAAGCACATTTAATGGACACGCCCTCAGCCTGGAAGAGCTCATTAATGCTTCATTTTTTATGATTTTGAATTTTGGCCTGGTGGGTGAAAACAGAGTTTTCTGTTTTATTGCAAACTTAAAATACATATTTTTGGAGCACCAGATAGCCTAGCGGACATGATGCACTCCCCTTGTACAGAGGCTATAATCCCTATAAAGCCGACACATACTATAAGGTAGAGGGTTTTTACACAGAAGCAGGATGGTGATTCAAATCTTCTCTCAGAGGAAAATGTGAATGACTGAACTCTGGCTGTGTCTGGGACGTGTGCAGTGGTGAGTAAATGGTTCCCAGGCAGTCATCTTGCTGCAGATTGCATCTCTGGGTGTCTCTGGGTGTGTGCAGTTTCACTGAAAGCAGAAGGAAGCTGGTGAGATAATTTAGTTATGAGGTAATAAAAAGCAGAAGAGCTGCAGGCGTTTACTGTCAGCCGTCAGCTGTTTTTACTGTCAGATGAATGGGCAGGGGAGAAAAAAGGTCATTGATAAAGACACTCCAGCGTTTGCCAATCCCAGAGCTGGAATCAACCAGTACACTCACTCATAGCTGGACTGGTTTCAGTTTCACTTTCTGCAGACACAGAAAATGTTTGTAGTTTTTACCAAACAACACATGACACAATTTAGTCACCCTGTCGACTAAGATAAAGAAAACAGATAAACCCAGATTTCCTCCTCTGTGTTTCTATCCTCATGATTGAAACCACCTGCAGGGTTCAGAGAGGGGGAACATTGTTATTACAGTAGTTGGAGGACCGCACCCATGTTTCTTATATTTCAACACAACGATAGATGTTTTTTCAACTTCTAATTTAAAGGGTTGTTGCTGAAGTATTCTTCAAAGTAAATGCTTGTTAACATAGTTTATGTGCTACACTGGGGCAGCTGTGGCTCAGTTGGTCGTGTGTAATTTGGGGATTGGTTTGTCATCATACTAGACCTTCAAACTTGGATGGGGTAGTAAAAATCAAAAGATATTGTTACCACGGCAACAAAAATAGATACTGGGTCATTTCTTTTTTTAATTACCAAAAATGGCAAGCAAACACGTGCACCCTGTCTGAATTACACAAATACTGACATGTTGTTTCTCTATCTGCATCTGTTTGGGATATGATGGGTCAAAGTTTTGATCTGGGCGGCTGTGGCTCAGTTGGTAGAGCTGATTGTCTCTCAACCAAAAGGTTGAGGGTTCAATCCCCAGCTCCTGCAGCAACATGTCTGATGTGTCCTTGGGCAAGACACTTAATCTCAAGCTGCTCCTGCTGCTTCATCAGTGGAGTATGAATGTGTCTGAATAGGATTAGTTTCTACTAATGGACACTATAAATGTGTAGATGTGACCTGCGGTGTAAAAGCACTTTGAGTAGTAAGAAAACATTTTCATTTAAACCAATCTGGCAGCTTAACTTTGACCCTACTGGTGGTGCGAATGCAAACAGAATAAAAATCATTTTATTTAGTTTTTGGAAAAGGTCCAAAGGAAGCCCCCCCATAAGAACTGTATGGACCTAAAACTACCAGGTAGCTGCTGCCTGAATTTCACAGCTGTTCCCTAAAATTCACAAATGCTTTAAATGTACTAATATTTTAAGGCTTGAAGCTACATTTTTCCATATTAGTCCAACGAAGCAAAAATAAAGGTTATTTTAGAATGAAAACAAATGATTGTAAACATAACTTGCTCTCTGATCAACCATTTCACTTCCCCTTATCCTGTGACCCTTTAAAGGCGCCCGACCCTTAGGTTGATAACCACCATGAGGAAGTGGCCAACTGTAAACGGTCAAAAGTAGAGCTGCTAGGGGGGGCTTGGTGGTTGGTTTGCTCCCCCCATGTGCAGAACCTGTGGTCCTATAGGAGTGGGTTGCTTAGGTTTCAGGTCTGACCTGTGGCTCCTTTCCCTCGTGTCGTTCCCCATTCTCTCTCTATCCTCTGTCCTTAGGATAGGATAGTTACTCACTACTGATATATTCAGTCATACAAGAACATCTCTTCTTTTAATTCTATTTTCTTATATTTACTCTTTTAAATGGAGCCTCCCAGATGTGTGTGTGTGTGTTTGTAGTTCAGATGTAAAAGGACTTTTTCCCCTCCCTCTGTCATGTTTCAGTTGAGAAATGATTGAACTCTGAGCAGCTCGTAAGTCATTTATAAACCAGCCTTATGTAACCACGGGGCTTTTTAACTCCACTGTCATCTGATGTGTGAGAACTTCACAACATCACACACAGGAAGAGGACGATGATGACCACTATGAGAAGTTACTGAGTTACACAAACAGAGAGAGAGAGAGAGAGGGAACACAGGGTGACACTTTGAGAAGGTTACCAAACAGTCTGAAGTGAGAGCTCTGAGGATTTCCTTCCTTACAAACATGGAGATTTTCCATCTTGTGACACCAGAGTGAGATTGTGCAAACGGTACATTCAGAGTCAGAGCTGATGGGAACAGCTTCACCTCCAGTCGCTTTGTCATTGACCTTTGGAAAACCAGCTAATTCAAACTAAAAGAACACATACTTACACCTTAGACATTTGTATTCCAGTAAAGATAACACCCATTATCTATAACGCTTTCCCCCCCTCATTCCCAGCGCTCACTGGGCGAGAGGCGGGGTACACATTGGACTGGGATTTCTCCCTCCATGTCTTGTTCTAAATCCACTCTGATCCTGTGTTTGATCACGTCTATAAACCCCTCTATTTCAGCCCTGCTCAGAACAGGCTGTTTCTGTGTCTGTACCTTTAAATATGTAAATGAGCTGTGTCTGACCACGCCCCCTCTCTTGAAGAGCTTGGGTGTACTCTGTGCTTTCTCGCTCCATGTCATATTGTTTACAGTGAGAAGGCAGACTCAGTGGGCAGAACAAACACCTAGCTGTGGGAGTGTCACCCACCTGGGGGAGGGGCTACTGCCCTTTGTGATGTCATTAAGGGAAAATCTCCAAACGGCCTGTTTGAACACACATTTTCTGAAAAGTGGAGCAGGCAGAAGATGGAGAGGATGGACTTTTCTCATCATTGGGGGGTTTGTAGATGGACTAAAGACACATGTTAGAGTTAGAGAAACATGGTGAAGTGGATTTTGCAGAATATGTGACCTTTAAAGTGTGATTTTCTCGTCTGGGCAGTGATGAGGCGATAAAGCGTCTTATCCTGAGAAGACAAACTTTCAGTGACCACACAGCAGCTTCTGTTTCAACAGATTTATTCAGTTAAAGAGTGAAAACAGATTAAATGTTAAAACAAGTAAAAACAAGCACCTTTCACCTCTTTCTATCGTTTTCAAATCTCGGACAGTTTACAGATCACACCCTGCGAGTGGACAGGACGCAGAAAACTGTCATCACATGTCTCTTCCTGGATCATAAAAGGCACAGAGAACTTTGTTTCTCGTTAGTCGAGGACAGATAGTTTGAGGGTTTACACACAGAAAATGAGTGACGCAAAAACAATGTCAAGCCGTGAAGCAGGATCACAATAATTCACCGAACACCGTCTGCTCTTAGCTGGTACATGTTGAGGCACAATCTGTTCAAAAGCCCTCTAAAGAATCACAAATACATCAATAAAACTGTTGACTTAACATTTGAAATGCAGTGAAACAGGCACGCTAACTGTATGTGATACAAGTTCATCAGGTTATATATCAAAGTCGAGTCGAAAGCACAAATTTAGCTCCATTATCATATCGACTGATTCACACCGCTCTGATTTAAGAATCGGTTAGATTGATCTGATAATCTACACCCTGAACAGCTCTAAGTTCTTCTTCTGCTAAAAATCAATAATTAGACAGACATGTAAAAAAAAAAAAAAAGATTACAAGATGCCACTGAAAGAAACGTTGCCACTGATTTTTTTGCAGGTTTGCTTGATGGTGTTATTTGAAAGACAACAAGACGGCAGGAACATCGATTTGAATGAAAGACAAAGCAAAGCATTCTGGGAATTCCTGCACAAATTGACAGACGCAGCGAAGCAGTGAAAATGTGATTAAATCAAAAAAACTGTTGTACACAAAGTGACACATGTACAGATCGACTGACATCCAATCCATGATGGTTTACATCATTTATACATTTCAAGATTTTAACGGCATTTGCTGTTTCCACACACACACACGGACCACGATGAGCGCGTGTGTGTGTGTGTGTGTGTGTGTGTGTGTGATTGTGACGCGTTGTGTTGCTGTATTTTCAAAAAGAATCCTGAAGACTCCTGAAAGTTTCCTGAAGTGTCATCGCCTCTGGCCACATTTTTTAGCCCTGACTTTACTTCAACTTTTTCCTGCCCCTCCCCCTATAGTTAAATTTCCACGTGTGCACGTTGTGGCGAGCTGATGTGTGAACGCAGCGGGTAATATTCAGGAAATTCACCGTGAGCAGGAGGGGGGGTTAAGATGTTTACATCAAACAACCAGTGTGATCAATAACGTAATGAAGCTGCGTCATACTTTTTCTGCTCACAGGTTTGTGTTTTTTTCATCCCAGTGTCCTTTTTTTAATCACTTCCTGCCTCCTGAGGCCCCTCCCCCACCCTCCAGTACATCAGGAATAACAACTGAGGGGAAGGCCGTACTGAAAATGTCAGTTGTGCATGTGTGAAAACGACTTGTGTGTGCGCATTTTGGTAACTGTGACTGCAGCCAGATCAATCTGTTCAAACTTTCGTGGCTTCTCAGAAGTCCAGCTGCGTCTTTCTTTCTCTCCGTCAAGTCATGGGTGAGAGAGGCGGCGAGAGGTCGGGGGGGCGAGTTGAGAAGATGTCCCACATCAGAGCTGCAACAGAAAGAGAGAGAGAGACAAATAAACAAACAGAAGGTGTTTAAAATCACTTTGAGATCTTTATTTACACCTGTTGTTAACACACGATCTAAACAAACACACAGATAAAAATAAACTGTGTTTGTTCACAGGATGAGGAGACCTCCTGGAGATGTTGTCTGCTACCAGCCTGTCAGCGTCGGACCAATTCCACAAACGCAAGTAAATCTTTAGAGTAGAAGTTCATATATTCTATCTGTAAAGGGGCTTTAATTCACACACAGTAATACCACCAAACTCTGAAACAAATCAGAACAGCAGCAGGCGTCGAGTCAACCTGAGTCAATGAAATTCTCTCAGCAGGTTAAAGGGTCACTAAGCTTTGTCTCAGGCCGCCTGTTAAACCTCCTCTCAGGAACTTTGTGGTGATTTTGGCGACACCTGTGGACAAAGCGGTGCCTCTCATTTCTTTGTGTGGAGGTGTTTTGTTTACATCTCGTCCTGCTTTTATTAACAGTCAAACACGTCCCTCATCCAGAAAGTCTGTGTCTGCAGCGTGCCGTTAATCACTTCATCTGACAACCTGCCCGCGGCCGTGGTTTGAAGGCGTTTAAATCACTTTATTTAAAAATAACACATCTTTGTGCTGATGCTCTTGTTTGCTTTTCGGGCGAGATGGAGGCTTTTAATATGAATGTGAGTTGTTTCCTAACCAGCTGTAAACACCTCACAGGAGCAGTTCAGGGGTTCAGCTGAGACTCTATCGCCCTTAATAAATCATTTCAGTCTGATACACACAAACTGTCCATAGTTAATAACTATCAGTCGGTGATAGAAGAAGAATGAATGTGTTCCTTTTACCTGCAGTATCACAGAGTCCCTGAACGCCTCCTAACAGAGGGTCTCTGTCTGTGAGCAGGTGACTCCGCCCTCCTGACCCCATCAGCAGGGCCAGATCTGATTGGTCCGTTTCCTCCAGAGAGTCCTGAGGATGGAGATTTTAAAAACATGCTCACATGGATGTTTTTCTTTGCTCTTTGGTTGATACTGTGGAAACGTCCAGTAACGCGTAGCTTTGATATAAAGGTCAAAAACTGTCATTATGGCGTCAGACTACATTTATTCTATGATGTAAAAACTCTTGTACATGTTCTGGAAATACTGGATCAATTATAACTTCAGTTTTAAGCTCTAGATGCAGAAGAACAGATCTGTGTTTGGTTTTTTTGTAATGGTTTGTAAAAGCAGAAAAATGAGCTGGACTGACAACATTTCTTTCCCCTCTTCCTCTTCCTCTTCCTTCACTCACCAGCAGCCTGTGGCTGAGCAGGAGTTCCTCTTCTATAGAAGAGGGAACTTCTTCTTTCTGTCTTTTGCCCTGAATCATCAGCTCAGACGGCATCTCCTCGTCCGGGTCGTGAAATCTGAAACAGAGACAATCAGATTTAAAAAAAAAAGAAATATACATTTGTAGTCGTGTTTTATGTGTAGAGTGTCTGGACTTTGTAAACTGTTTAATCTGCTTTTACAATAAACCTTACGGACGCAGGTAAGTAAAAACACTCTGCACCAAGATCATCTTCTGTGATTTACCAACATGAGCTTTCCTGTAGCGCCCCCCTCAGGACGAACTTCACATTTCAACAACCTTTATTTATAGAGAACTTTTCAAAATCAAGTCACAAAGTGATTTACAAGGAAAACAATAATAAAACAAACGTAACGTCAGGCAGGTCATAGAATAACAAGCAAGACGTGTTGATGACCACAACATCTTTTTTATAAAGATGGTTTGTTGTCTCATTAAGAAATGACGATTAAAAAGTTGTATTTTCACGAGTTGTTTTGAAAAAGAACAAATATGTTCAGGTTTTGCAGTTTGAGTTGTTGAGTTCATTCTGTTGTCAGAGCCTCTTTTGTCGACATCAAGAGAAATCTGATCGTCAGGTTTTATCAGAGTGAATTCAGAGATGTGAAACGTAATAAATATGTCCAATAATCAAAAGCTTGTTCACAGATTAATACGACATGTTTCCACCTCAAAGACTGAAGGAGGGTGATTCAAACTGCTGCAGGATGTTCATGTAAGATATATGAGCACATACCTCCATATCTTTATAATATTACTTTCCATCACATTGTTTTCTAAGGTCACAGTGATGTCATCGTGGCCTGAATTTGCTCCTGACCATCTTTAACCTGTGAGGTTACAAAGTGAACGAGCCCGTCGTACCGTTTCCTCCCTGTTGACACCTCAGGCGTTGTCACAGCTCGTGGCTCAGACGATGATGATGACGACGTCGGAGGATTCTCAGCTTCGTCGGACAAACTGCTGCTGAGGAAGGTCAGCTGGAAGTCGTCGTCCATTGAGATGTAAGGAGCCAACATGTCCAGGTCCATCTCCTTCACAGACCAGAGAAGAGACAGACAGGAGGAGGGGTCAGACTCAACAGCTATAAATCTGCTTTGATCATGTATTATTTTGAATTATCTTCTTAATTTCACATCTGTATCTATCCTAATTTGACTGTTTTTTTTACTTTCTTATACTGTCCTGAAATGATTTGAAGAACTTCATTCAAAGTATTCGTCTCCTACCTCCTGAATTTCTTCTCTTTTCTGACCGTCTTCTGAACAAACAGCGAAGAACTTCTCCACCTGGCTGGTGTCCATCACCTCGTCCTCCAGGGAGCTCTGAGGGAGGTCGACAGAATTTAAGTTCAATCAAAACAAAGCGAGAGAGGACAGTTTCATGTGAAGGACAAACATGTGTTTAAGTGTTTTTAAAGATTTAAGACGAGCGTTTACCGGCTCAGGTTGAGGTGAGGGTGCTGCTGAGGACGATGAGGATGATGATGATGGAGGGGGAGTGAGGGGGTTGAAGATGGACGACAGGAGCTGTCTCAGCTGAGGGGTGCACAGATCCTCAGGGTGCTCCAGCACAGAGTCCGGACTGGACGGAGTGCAGAACGCGAGCTCAACAAAATCTGACGGACACAAAAAACACAAAGAAATCAGAAACTTCAGCTGAAGACATAAAAATAAATCCAGGAAATAGAATTTAATTATAACCTTGTAAATACCTGAAATCTAAGGATAACGTCACAAGATGAACTTCCTGTATTTAAAGGCTTTGTATGAGCCTTACTCATACTCAGTACTTCGATCCTTGAACACCAGCATGAAAACAAAACATGGGGCTCACTGTCTGCCCTACCCAAGGTGTCCTAGAACTAATCAGACAAAACACCATTAAAGAGGGGCTCCCACTTGACGACCCCGGTGATGTCCTGGCTCTGGATGCCCATTGGTCATAATGGTTGAGTTGTGGGGCCCAATAGGGGCCATCGGCTTTTTCACTACCAGGCTAGTTCCCATAAACGGAGCCTGGCTCTGTTGAAGGTGCTAACTAAGGTTTCTGTAACTTATCAGAGGGACAGATAGACCCTGGAACAAAACGACCTCCATGCATGCAGAGATGCTGATTCAAAGAGAAAGAGTGATCGATGAATCATCAAATATTCATTTCTGACCTCGACAACTTTTTTCTGAACTTTGATCCCTGAAGCTGTAAATCTAAATGTCTGTGTGTCTCACCTCCTGTCGGCGGTACGATCACGTCTTTGGCCACAGACTCTAACTGAAGAAGTGCCTCGGGCTCCTCCTGATCTGAGCTGCCGGGGCTCAAACATGCGTCCTTGGAGCTAGAGAGACGCTCACCGTCAGAGTCACAGATGTCAGCAGTCCCGTTGACCTTTGTTTTAATTTCTGTGGAATGAGATTCAGCTTCAGACGGCGGGCGGTATCGGATCTGCTCGACGGAGAAAACAACGTCTGGCTGCTCGACGGTACTGCAAAAAGAAAAAGAATTGTTTTTTTTTTTTTAGATGTTTGATGGACAGGAAGTTTCCCCACACGTACACTTCACATGGTTTTTAAAAGTACCTGAGGATGAAGTTGAGGCAGACGATGGCCTCGGGCTTAGACGTCTTGCTGTTGTAGAGGACGGTGGCCTGAGTCTGAGCCCAGACGAAGCCGCCGCTGTTGGTCAGGAAACGATAGCAGCCGGTGCTCACCTGACCTTTGGACAGCACTTCATGTGACACACACACACACACACACACACACAAACAGAAAAGTAAGGAACATTTCACTCAAGGACCAGAGACTGAAGCAATAAAAACACAACTCTAACGTAATCACATTTATGCAAAAGCAGAACTCTTATTTACTTAAAGATAAAGTCCTTTAAAACACAATAACCTGAAGATAAAAAAACATGAAGGATTCAGTTTAATGATTGTCGAATGTTAAAATCCTGCTTTTACATGTGCGGGATATTTTTATAGAACACAAACACACACACAACACTCAAACTGACATGTGTGCAGGCTCTTGTTGATGTGATGAGAGTCAAGGGCATGATGAAACTCATAGGCTGAGCAGCCAATCAGATCGCTAGGTTCATATCCCACCAACTCCATCACCCTGGAAACAGAGAGAATGAAGAAAAATCAGCAGAGGACTTCAATGTTCCTATTCCTCTCTCGTCTGACTCTCTCCCTTCTCTCCTGCCTCCCATCCACATAGAGGTCAAAGGTCAGCTCCAACTCAAGTGTTCATCCTACCTGCCCTCGCAGTGTGTGAAGCGCAGGTCCATGCTGTGGCGGGTGAGGAAAGTGTGTGTGTCCAGGAGGAACTCCACGCTGGACGGGTGCGGGACGGGCTCGCAGAGCAGGATCATCGCTCTGCCTGCAGGGGGTGACGTGGAGCCCGGGCAAAACGGGCGCATGTGACCCGTACAGTGAAGAACCTGCAGAAATAAGAGAGAGCAGAGACGTGTTAATCATTCTTTTCTCAAAACAGAATCCAAAAAGGATCGGTTTGTTTTCATTGTCGTCTTAACAATCTTAACCTCACAGGAGTGTCTGAATATTACAGTGTAGTCTGAAGCTGAACAAAGCATCTTTAGGACCAAATAAAGCCTTATGAGGTCTTCACATTCAGAAGTCAAGTCCTTCAGGTTTGGATGCCATCATGATGTCCTTCCTGGGTGTGTGTACGGCTGGTTTTTTTTAACCTAGGGGGCGGCTGTAGCTGAGGGAGTCAGGATGGGAACTGGAGGGTTTCCAGTTTCATGTCCTGGTACAGAACAAAGTAGGGGAAACTGATCTGGTTGCTGGAGAGGAGCCCGTCCACTCCCATGAGAACTAACAATGTGCCCTTGAGCAAGGCACTGTGAACCACCCACTACAGCTCAAGGTGGCGCCCCCTTATGTGCAACCCCAACTCTCTTACATATGTCAAACCGTTTCAGAGTTTCCTGTTTTAGTGCTCCATTTGACATTTTCTCTGTCATCATATTGTTTTTTTTGTGACCATAAAGCGTCAACAGGCAGGATATGACTAAAAGGAACCAAAAGTTTAAAATGAACTTCAAGCTGTATCGATGACAACGAGAAACTGGATTCAAACTGTTCTCTCATCAGGAACTGTTTAAGTAGGTCAAGTCTGATATTGTTTATTTAGAAACTGTTTTGAAATCTAACCGCCTTTTACAAACTGTGGAGTCACCCCTACATCGCCTTGATTTACAGTGAGCTGTGTGTACGTGTGTGTGTGTGTGTGTGTGTGTTTTCTTGTAAACACCTGTACGTGATCTGTGTCAAGTGTGCAGGGAGTAGAGTACAGGGCGACTGCCAAAAACGGCTGACCAACTAGTATCCCTTTCAAGCTGGACTCTAGCCCTGTGTGTGTGTGTGTGTGTGTGTGTGTGTGTGTGTGTGTGTGTGTGTGTGTGTGTGTGATACTGAACCTTGTAGTCGGCAGACTTGATGTTGACGGTGCGCCCCCTGCTGGTCAGAGTGCTCTTCATTCTCAGGAAGAAGTTCCTCTCAGTCGACTGTGAAGCCGACAGTTTCTTACTCACACCTGAAAACAACAGAACATCATTTGTATTACATATCCACAAACGTGCAGGAAAAGATACTGGAATCAAAACAATCAGGCAGTCAGAAAAACAGTCAGATTTTACTGGTTCAGATAAAGAAAAGCTAACAACATGGAGTGAAGGTCTTTGTCTTTTTCAGAGGAAGACAACATGACATCTTCTCACTCTCAAGTGTGCATAAACGTCATCTTAAGAACCTCTTTGTTATTGTTTAATATATGTTAATCTATCAGTTTTATTACCAATGAGAAGCAGGCTATCATCATCTATCTGCAGGACATGATAAATACTGGAACAAAAACGTGGTGTATATTAAAATGTGTGTTTTATGAGGATTTGTTTAGTAATGATGGAGAGTGTGTCTGACCTGGACGTGGAGCCAGCAGGTCTCTGAGCTCGTCCTGATCACACGGATGAACAAAGTCATAAACGCTCTGTCCCAGCAGCTCCAGCTGGAAACGACAAACAGCGACATGGTGAGCGACACGAACATGTTGACGTCTGCAAGTGCTTTAAAAGGTCAAAACGTATTCATCGATATAAAACTAATCAGCATACTTCAGTGCATTCTGTGTGAACTTGTGTTTCGTACTACTGTCTTCATGGTTATTTTATTTTTTTGACTTATCACAATTATTTCCTCGAGAACTTTTAGTCCTGTGCAACGTCTGAAAATAAACGTCACTGACAGAAGAGGAGATAACGTCATGAGTCATCACTGTTGAGTAAACCATGGTCGACTTTATCGATTCTGCTCCTCACCTCTCTGAACTCCAGCACATGAACACGCCCACCTGCACCCTCAGGTCTTCTTCTTCCCTTCAACTCACTGCCCCACCCGACCCGCCCGCCTGTCCACCAAGGGGTCCACAATCTCGTCTCAAAACACGTCTTTTGTAAACTTGCATATTCAGTCTGATCATTCTCCATCCTGTCTCATGCGTCCTCTCCACAAATGATTTCACAGTCTGTAAATTCCTCATTTTAATGTTATTTTTATGGATGTCTTAATGTTGTTTTCTTCTCTGCTCTGTAAGGTGACCTTCAGTGTTTTGAAAGGCTCCTTTAAATAAAATGTTATCTGCAGCAGATGGTTATATTTAAAATCCTCCACCGGATGATTCTTATCTCACCAACAGCTTATCCTTTAACGTTATTTAAACGTTATTATGAAACTATTTATTATTCTTTGGGTTTTAGCTTTGACGTACCTGTGTGATGCCGATGTGTTTGTTGACGTTTTCCGTCAGGTAGATCACGTCTCCCTCCTCAGACATCACCAGGACGAAGCCGGCCAACACTTGAGGGTAAAAAGTGTCCATAGAATCTTCCTCTTCCTCCTCATCTTTCTTTTCCTCCTCCTCTTCAGACTCTTTCTGCTTCTCCTCCGCTGTAGAGAAAAACCAGACAGAACAGCGCTGATTAAAAGTTGTGAAAGTTCAGGTTCTGTCGGGTCAAAGGGTCTTCTGATGGTTTGTGTCTCACCGGGTTGGAGGAGGCGGCGCAGCGACAGGAAGCTGAGAGCGACTCTCACGATGGCGGCTTTGTCCAGGTGGGTGGAGACTCGTCGGGGGAGGGGCAGAGTGTTAGCAAGCTCATAAAACACCTCCGTCTCTTTACTCCTCCTACAGCGAGCCGCATCACGAGAATGAAGCTTCCTCTGCTCCGAACTGGTCCTGCATGAGGAGGAGGAAGAGGAAGAGGAAGAGGAGGGGGAGGAGGAGGAAGAAGAAGAGGAAAAGGAGGTGGAGGAGGAGGAGGAGGAGGGAGGGGAGGAGGAGGAAGAGGAGAGGGGAAGAGGAGGGAGGGGGAGGAGGAAGAGGAAGAGGAGGGGAGGAGGAGGAGGAAAGAGGAAGAAGAGGAAAAAGGAGGAGGAAGAGGAGGAGGAGTAGGAAGAGGAGAGGAGGAAGAGGAAGAGGAGGAGGAGGAAGAGGAGGTGGAGGAAGGAGGAAGAGGAAGAGGAGGAAGAGGAGGGGGAGGAGGAGGAGGAAGAGGAAGAGGAGGAGGAGGAAGAGGAGGGGAGGAGGAGGAAGAGGAAGAGGAGGAAGAGAGGGGAGGAGGAGGAGGAAGAGGAAGAGGAGGGG